GGCTGAGGGCAGTGGATTGAGGTTGGGGGGCACAGGGGGGACTGCGGGGGAGGCTGAGGGAACAGGGTCAGGGTGGGGCCTGAGGGCAGTGGGTCTGAGGGGAGCCCCCCCCAGAGGGACCTGCCAGGGGGCCAGGTGAGCCCAGGTGAGCTTACCTGGAGCGGCTCCCAGGAAGCATCCGGCAGGCAGGTCCCTCCCAGTCCCTCTGGCCCCTTCCTAGGGTTGAGTCGAGGGGAGGGGGGCAGGGGCGGGGGGGGGGGGGCTCTGTGCCTGGCGGCCGCTGCCTGCTGCCCAAGTCTACAGGCCCCGCACCGCTGCAGCACACAGGGGAGCGAGACCTCCTCGCTGCCTCTCTGTGTGCCGGGGCAGGGGCAGGGCTGCGCTCTGCAGGCTCCTGTCGGCCGGGTGGCGGGCACCGTGGGCTGGCGCCGCCGCGCCGGGAGCTCAGCTGCGCGCTGCCCCAGGGACCAGGGAGGGAAGGTGAGTGGCGCCGGTGGCGCCGGCTTGTCGCTGTCCCCCTCATATAGGGTGACCAGACGTCCCGACCAATGTAAGGTCGGGACGCAGGACAAGTCCCCTAAAATCGGGACTGTCCCGATAATATCGGGACGTCTGGTCACCCTATATACACCAGCCGAGCAAGCAGGGAAGAGGAGTATGCCAGGGAAGGGGGGAACGTTTGGGGCAGAGAGCAGATGATGTGGGGAGAGACGGAAAAGATTCTTCAGATGGCAGGAGCTCTTCAAACACCAGCCTCGTCTGGTCTCTCACCTGCCCCCAATCCTCTTCACGCCCCACCTCTTCTCCCCAGCCCAAGAGTATAACCATGCCCACAAAGGGAACCAAATCAGAACTAAGCCCCATCCTTGCAGCGTCCTCCCGCCCAGTCAGCCTCAAACTCCCTGTTGTATCCCGCTTTCCCCACCGCCTGCCTCCTACACCCTGTGCTTGGGTTCGCCTGTTCAGGCTACCAGGCTAGGAAGTGTCGGATGATCGTTCATACGCTGTCTGCATGTAACGGGTCATTTGCATTGTTTGTGGACCGTAATCCCATGCTTGGGACTCCGGCTCCCTGGGCACTGGAGGTCAGGCGAGAGGGCAGGTGGGTTCTGTGCTGCTGAGCCCCTGGAGGATGGAGGTCCCAGCAGGACTGGGAAAAGACGGGCATTTTCACTCTACCCTGCGGGTTTGGAGAAGCAGGCGTGGAGGTAGAGAAAGGAGGTGGGGCTGGGAAGGGCCTGTGCTGATCCCCGAATGGAAAGCGGGGCTTTGCCGTCAAAAATCATACGAGGAGGGGAACTAGGGCCTTTGAGGGGTTTAAGGACGAGGTGGGACTGGCAGTCGGGGTGACTGCAGGGTCCTCGGAACGCACTGCTGGGTTGGGGAGGAGCCTGCCACACGAAACACGACAAGGCACCTTGGAGGATTTGCAGAGACTGAAAGTCCGGACTTCCCCCATCACCTCCCCTCTCCATCCATCTCCACCAGCCTCTGCCTCCCCCTTCCCTTGCACCCCTTTTCATCTTGGCCCCCTCCAGCCTCCTCCATTCCCTGCTCTCCTAATGGCTTGACTCACCCAAGGGCGTCTCGTCCAGCACAGACTTCCCATTGAGATCAGCTCCATGCGCCACCAGCAGCTCCACCAGATGGATCTGACGGCAACAAGGGAAGTTGCCTTTAGCGAAGCAGGAAGAATCTAACGCACAAACCTGCTCCACACCCGAGCTGAGGGGAAAATGCCCCTCTGACCACATCGCCACCCAGCTGGGAACTGCGCACATGCCAGAAGCGGAGACGCTGCAGCCTCTGCAGATTAGCACCCTCCTGCATGCTGGGCCTGTCGGCTTCCATTGCCATAACGACCTGGGGGAGAGTTCACAAGTGGTCCCCGCATGCCCTGTGCCTGGCAGGAGGGAGATTCCTAGAAGCCCCCGCTCACCCTCTCCCCCATCCACAGCATGTTCCGATTCCTGACTGCTGACACTGCAGTGCTGCGGCTGGAGGCGGCCACCCATACTTTAGAGCAGGCTTTCACCTGAGCTCCCTCCAGCCCACTGAGGCCCCAGGGCCCTTCGGGAGGAGTTGGGGTGGCCCTGTGTCCAGCACCCCGCTCTCAGTAGCCATCGCTTCCATGTGCCTGGCCCCCACACATTACTACGGAAAGCACTCCGGCAGGCCAGACAGCAAGAGAACGCAGTCCATGACCAGTGCTGAGGGTGTCGTGCCACTAGGGGGCGCTGTACTCCACCACTGGGAAGATGTTCAAGGGCCGGAAATTCCCAATAGCAACACCCTCAGCCAGTGGGCTAGATGTGCATTCTCACCTGCCTACAAGAACTCACCTGCCCCCAGCAGGCGGCGGCATGGAGAGGCTCCCACCCATCATTGTCCTTCGCGCTCATGCTGGCCTTGTGTTCCAGCAGCAGCTCAGCAGCTTCCAGGTAGCCATTTGCTGAGGCAATGTGGAGCTGCAAAGCAGAAGTCGCCGGCGCTAGAACCCTGGGCCGGGCCCTAACGCCAGCTGCGCTCTCCAGCAAAGCTTGGCTGGGATGGCTAAACCGGCAAACCCGCTCGGAGCAGATGCCATGGACACCTGCAAAGAGGCCGTTTGCTGGGACAGCTCATACCGATCCCGAGTGAAATAAACGATCCAAGTGCCTTGGCCAGTATCGCTGCAGCGACACTAGGGTGTATGCCAATAGAGAAGAGTTACAAAAAGTAAAATAACCCCCCTCTCCCCACCACGGGTGTTCGTCTACCGTCAAAGTTTCTAGTGTGAACTTGGGCTCAGATGGAGACCAGTCAGTTCCATTAGGGCCTGTCCCATTTGATCAGCGGTCTCCAGAGACAGAAGGGTACGGGGTCATCTCCTTCCCTGCTGTGATCACCAGGTCAAGGAATGGCGACATCAAATGACAAGGTAGAGGAGACACAGCTAGCGAGCCGGCTGGCCATTATTCCCAGGCCACACCCAAGCAGTTCTGCAGCAGGAGCCAACGTGCTGTGCAAGGAGGGGGTTCCGCTGTGAACTGGGATCCTACAGAGGCAGCCCATGCCGGACTTTGAGTATCAGGGCAGACACAGCTGGACTGCGCGTTCAATGCGTAGCCAGCGCAGAGCGGTGCACTGGGGAACGTGTTCACAGCACCCAGTGCTGCTGAGGAGATGGACTGCTGTATTTTGTACTAGCTGGAGCTTTCTCAGGGCAGGCAGCTGCAGGGTTTCAAGGATCTACCCGGGAGGTCGCAGACATGGGAATCATTGTGACCAGGCCGGAGCCTGACGGGAGAAGGGAAGATGTTCTGGCCAGACCCAGGTGGAAGTGGGAGGTTCTTGCTGCCATGGCTCTCTTGACTTCCAACAGCTCTGAGGGACCCCAAGGGACCCCAAGGCCGAGGCCTGAGTCTGAGCACTCCGATATATGAGCACATGGACTGGGACTCTGCAGGCAGTGGCCCCAGATGGCTCTCGGACTGAGCAATTTCAGCGCATTTTCATTCACTGCACTGCCTTGAGGTGGGATGGGAGAACCCGGTGCTCAGCAGTGGCAAACGCAGCATTGTCTGCGGACAGGAGAGGGTTCTCCACCAGAGCCACAGGCGCTGTCTGTGTCTGCTGTCCTAGGCCCCGGGACAGCAGCAGCTGCTGGGGGATGTGGAGATTGGGTTTTGCTAGCTTTCAGTTTGGCTTGCTTAGAGGCACAGGTGATGGCCCTGACCACTGGCAGTGCTTCCATGGCTACTTGTGTGAACAGGCAGAGGCCTTGGAAGGAAACGCTAGTGGTCCTGGCCCTGCTCTGGGTGGCCTACGAGGCGTCCCACATGCAGAGGAGCTCGAGAACAATGGGTCAGTTCTCGTCTCTCCCCAGCCACGGCCAGATTGAGTATGTTCACCACTGCTTCGTCCCCCAAGAGATGGGGCTTGTGCTGCCTCCCTAAGACCAGCCCCCAGTTCCCCTGCAGCCCTGGTCTCCTGCGCCTCACTTCTCAGGCACAGCTCTCCCTAGCTGTCGGCATTATTAACTGGGAACTTACCAGAGTGGCACTATGGTCAAGTGGAGTGTTCAGATCGGCACCTGCCTGAAGCAGCTTTCGGATATCTTCCACCATGCTGTGCTCCGTGGCGGCTCGGGCCTCCTCAATCTTCTCCTGAGTTATTCCTACCCAGAGAGTAAGTGCCGTGAGGGCAGCCATGGCAGATGGTGACTGGGGGCTGGCCTGTACCCCAGCAGCAAGGCTGGAAGGCATTTGCTTATTGGACTCCATGCCAAGGACCATGTCAGTTTCTTACAATCGGCACTAGTCTAGGCAGGAAGACGCACACACATCCCTTGCCCAGGAGCAGCCATCTGTCCTTGGCACCCTCTTGGGCGGGAGGGATAGCTCAGTGGTTTGAGCATTGGCCTGCTAAACCCAGGGTTGTGAGTTCAATCCTTGAGGGGGCCACTTGGGGATCTGGGGCAAAATCAGTACTTGGTCCTGCTAGTGAAGGCAGGGGGCTGGACTCGATGACCTTTCAAGGTCCCTTCCAGTTCTAGGAGATAGGATATCTCCATTTCTCCTCTGCACCTTACCCGAGTGACCTACTCCACTTCCAGGGCTTTGCTTCCATCTCGCTGCTGACAAAATCCACCCTCCCCCCTGGGTCTCTCCCCTCTGCTGAGTCTCCCAGCTGTACCTGTCTCTCCGACAACTGTTCCTGGACCTTCCACCATCAATCTCCCCCAGGCCCTTCAACATCCACCTTCCACATCAGGGGCCAGCTCCTCCCTCCAGGGCTCGGGCCAACATTCCCCTGCTCCCTCGTCTCCCTCCACTAGCCTGTTTGCCCAGTTTGACTTTCTTTCACCCTTAGCCATTGCCTATGCTGCCCTTGCTCTGTGGGACACCCTTCCTGACCCTGTATGCCAGACAACCTGACCTCTGCTCCTTCAAACCCCTCCTCAGAATCCATTTCTTCCACCAGCTCCACCCTTGCCCCTCACTCCTGCATCAGCTTGACGGATTTTGTATATAAACAAATGGATGTGTTTGGTGCAGATAACTCTCCTCGCCTCAAAGTATGCGAGCTTCCCCTCGCTCCCACTCCCTTGCCAGCTAGCATTTCTCCCTGCGTCTTGGCGGGGTTTATTGAACCTAGATCTCTTCGTGGGGAAGATCACGTCTGTCTGTCGAGTGCCATGCATACCCATGGCACTGTATAAATAACAACAGGAGCAAGAACTCAATGGTCTCTCTGCAAGAGGCTCATCGCCCACCAGCAAATCTCAGTGGTTAAGAGGAAGGAGGCTGCTAAGAGGGTTCCCTACAGCCCTTTCCCAGCGCAGCCTGGAGCCATCAAACAGGGGAGGAGTCAAAATCTGGATCTTAAGAAGTGATGCTCCTTCATTCTAGGATGTGTCTCTGTGTCGGGAGAGCGCTAGAAACAGAAGCTGCACAAGGAGAGAACCCAACACAGATCTCACTGGAAGGTAAATGGGGCATTCTGGGTTGGACACTGCTGCCAAGGTGCCAACCCCCCAGCCCTGACAGCAGCTTGCTGCACCATGGAGGGGGCTTGCAATGCCTGAGCAGAACAGGAGAGCCGAGAGGGGTACGCACCCAGCGGTGAGTGAATAACCATGAAATATCCACGGTGACAACAGGGAAAGGGGAGGAGACACCAGCCTGGGACTGGGGAGACTCACCCTGATCTGCCATGGCCGTTTCAATGTAGTCCAGTGTCACATCGTCCTCGCAGAGGTCATACGGCATGTTCCCATCTGTGTTAACTGCCAGGAGATTGGCACCACTGGGCAGGGGAAGGAGAAGAAATGAACAGTGAGGAAACAAGGCAGGTGGCTACCTCTCTGCTGTGCCCACAGTAATGCCACGCACAGCACCCGTGTGCCGCTGGGCAGCTAGTGTAACAGATACAAGGAACAATTTTCATTAAAGAGCCACCAACGGCTTCTGGAAAACATTCTCCATGGGCACGATTCTGCCTGTCCTGTAGATTGGGTTTCTTGTCCCGCCTTCTCTATCAGCAAGGGACGGCTACGTGAAACAGGATCCCCGCTCAAGGGCCCGGCTGCTGCTTCTTCAGCAGAGCCCTGCAGTCTCCCTCCAGGGCCCTGCCCTCCTCTCCAGCACCACCCCATGTGATGGGACTGCTGGACTCCCCTGGGGAAGGAGCAGCTCTATTCCCCTGTTTCCACACTGATGTCCCTGGGAGAAGGATGAGGAGGGGGCTGTGGAAATGAGTCTGCTCCCGAGAAGGTTTTCAAAGAGGCTTTGGGGGCAGGGGGGGGTGCACAGAAATCCAGCCAGTGGGAGTTGCACAAGGAGAGAACCCAACACAGATCTCACTGGAAGGTAAATGGGGCATTCTGGGTTGGACACTGCTGCCAAGGTGCCAACCCCCCAGCCCTGACAGCAGGTGTCTGATGAGATGCTAAAGAAACCCATGTTACCCCTGTTCTTTCAGGAGCCTGCCCGTCCCCATTTACCTCCCCCATTTTTCCCACCCAGGCTAACTCCTCCTGGCTACGCTTTGCGCTCCCCAGGCAGCCCCAGATTTATGCACCCACTGTTCTCCTAACCCTACTTCCAGCTTTAAAACACAGACTCAGCAGAGGTGCTGCCTAGCGACCAGGACGCCATGAGGACTGCAGGCCAGGGCAGGCAGCCTCGAGGTGCTGGGGGATCAGCAGGCAGGTCCATGCTCGTCCGCAGTTGGCATTCGAATCCCAGCCCCTCCTGGGCAGGGAGTGATGCGGGAAGGTCTTTCATAACTGGGTCATGCTGTACAGCAAGAGGAGCAGCAGAGCATTTACTGATGCAAACTGCCTCGTCCGGCTGCAGCCGGGCCAAGGCCTCACTGACAGGAGATTCCTGCAGGCAGCCCAGACGGAGGCAGATTGGGTTACTTGGTCAACGATACACCCCCATTAAACATTTACAGCCCGACAAGACGGGTTCCAAACAACTACAGTGGAGTCTGACAACATGACTTCAATTTGAGGGGAGGGGAAAGAAGCAGGCTGAAAAAGATGCAACTGTTCCAGGGGAGGTGAGCCCCCGAGGATTAATACTCCGGCTTGCCACCTCTGAGAACCTGGGGGTTCAAACCTGGCTTGGGTCACGGGAAAGGGAGAGGCCTGGGCTAGGTACAGGACCTCTAGGGGGCATTCAGTGGAGCTCAGCGACTGCATAAGGAAGTATGAGGACTGGACAGCAGGGGGTGCTCCAGAGTCAGGACCGGGGGGGGGGGGGGGGGGGGGGGGGAAGGTGAGTGGAACTGCGGTAGGTGGACAGGTATGCAGTAGTGTTGTAGCCGTGTTGGTCGAGGTGGGGGAGGTAATATCTTTGGTTGGACCAACTTCTCCTGGGGAGAGAGACGCTTTCAAGCTGCCCAGAGCTCTCCTTCAGGTCAGGGGGGAGAGACTGGGCCAGAAGCAGTCAGAGCCTCTCCGGGTGCAGGAATCATGTCAGGCTGGGCTCATTTTGTCAGACTCCCCTGTGCCAGGTTCACTTCCCTTGACTCAAAGCTCGGTCGGGGGGCGCAATCCCAGTGCCAAGGAGGATCTAAGCAGTTCTGGGTGCCCTCACGCCAAGGCACCTTTCCTGCCCAAGGCTGCAGGGTTACTGCCCCAATTAAGTCCCAGGACCCTCTGAACGCCAGAACAGTCTCCTTCTGGGAGTACATCACTCTGTTATGGGGCACCTGGTAGGTGACTTCAGGAGCCCTAACTCTCCCCCTCCTTCCCCACCTCAGGCTGGTCTGTTTGCAGACCCTTTCCCCTAGGGGGGGAAGGCCACACCCCCGGTCACGCCCCACTGCATGGCACGCACAGGAACGCACGTACTGTTTAATCAGCAGCTCCACCAGGTGCAGGTGCCCGCAGGTGGCAGCGGCGTGCAGCGGCGTCCAGAGCTCACTGTCACAGGCATTGACATCCGCGCCGGCCTCCAGCAGCAGCGCGACCACGTCCCCGAAGTCGTCGATGCAGCACTAACACGAGAGGAAGCAGAACACAGGCGGTTACTGCGGCTGGGGCCCGGGAGTTCACACCACTGACAGGCCTAGAGGAACAGGCCCTGTTGTTGCAGGAAAGGTCCAGCCAAGACCGAGCAAGCTGCTGCCCCCTCACTGCAGACCTCCATCAATTACCCTTAAACCTGCCCCAGAGGGAGCCCCTCTGGAGGGGGTGGGAGTTCGGGCTCCATGGCTCAGCCAGTCCTTGGCTACTTCGTGAGAATGGCTTTTGTGAGGCGGATCTCAGCCACTAGGCCCAGGACTGAAAGCCCAACTCACTTGGCTAGAGCACAGGACAGGCAGCCAGGACTCCTGGCTTCTAGTCTCAGCCTGGCTATGGGCTTGCTGGGTAACTATGGGCAAGTCCCTTCCTCCTCTGTGCAATGAGCTAGCTCTAGTGACCAGACTCACAAAGGACTGGTGAGGATAAATTCCTTGATGTCTGTAAAGGGCGTTGAGCTCTCTGGAGCGAAGGCCACGGCATTTCCTGCAGAGCACTAGAGAGCAGACAGGTAGAAATGATTCTGGGCCACTCCCCAGGTGCTGATTTTTTAACCCCCCACAGGGAACCATCTGTGTTTGTCCCTGAGCCTGGTGGAGGTGGGGGCCCAATAGGTCTCTGTCTCTGACGTCCATGAGCCAGCAACCTGCAGAGCGCAGTCTTGGTTCAGATTTCTAAGCAGCCCTTTAAGATGGGACTTGCTTACTCCCAGCGAACCAAGGCAAGGCAACAGCATCCTATGCTGGCCGCCAGGAGAGGATGCCGGCCCGCCTGTTACTAAGGGTATGTCTACACTACGGGATTAATCCGAATTTAGATAATTCGAATTTGGGAAACAGGTTGTATAAATTCGATTGTGCGCGGCCACACTAAGCACATTAATTCGGTTTTTAACCACATTAATTCGGTGGTGTGCGGCCACACTACCCCATTACTTTAACCACAGTAATTCGGTGGTGTGCGGCCACACTAACCCTAATTCGAATTAACAAAATCGATTTAGGCGCTACTCCGCTCGTCGAGGTGGAGTACAGAAATCGATTTTAAGTGCCCTTTAATTCGAATTAACTGGCTCTGTAGTGTGGACGGGTGAAGGGTTAATTCGGATTAACGCAGCTAAATCCGAATTAAAGTCGTAGTGTAGACCAGGCCAAAGGGAGGGAACCTGCATGTCAGGAAGGGGCAGTACACAGTGTTGTTGTGGTGTGTTGGTCCCAGATGTTGGTCCAGAGCAGGGGCAGGGAACTTCTACCCACCAACTCTCTGTCCCCACTGACAGCTCAGCCCCTGGGGGGTTCTGGTCTGCAAACACCCACCAGAAGGGGTCTTAGGAAAGGAGGTGGAAGCAAGCCAGACCCGTTAGATGGGTGTGAAGGGGACACTGCTCTGAGAGGTTCTTAGAGCAGATGGGTGGATTCATACTGCGAATTCCTGCCTGATGATGGACTGACAGACTCCTAAGGGAGCTGAGGCCAACAATGCACCTAACCCCTCTTCAGGACCATCTGCAGCCCATGTCACCGCTCGGAGCTCCTAGCATCGACAGACAGGAAGTCCTGGCCTGCAGGAGGGTGGAGAGAGGGAGAAGGCATTATGTTCTCCCAAGAGTTCAGTGCATGCTGGGGATTGGTGGCTTGGCATCAGGACATTCTCCAGATCACAGAGGGCGAGGGAGTGGTGTCAGAGAAAGGAAAGAAGCGGGGGATAGGGAGCAGAGCGGAAGAGCGGGCCCTGGAGGGAACCTGGAAGAGCTGGGATCACTGTGGGCCTGATCCTCTTCCCACTGAAGTCAGTGGCAAAAGCTCCTTTGCGCCAAGTCAGGGGGTTGGAGCCACTTGAAATGGGAGGTTTGGTCTTTTTGGACCCTAGGAGGCCAAATTCCAAGGGCTTAAGAACCTTGGTGCTGAAGCCCGTCAAGCAGATGAGCAGGGAGTGATCTGAAAACCAAAGCACCAGGCACCGCAGAATCTCTTGACTGGAATTCGCAGGAGCCCAAACCCACTGCACAGAGAAAGGGGATGGGGCTCCGTTGCTGTGCCCGTGTGGCGTTCACTGCAGTCTCTGCACACAGCATAGTGCTCCACACCAGGCGAGACGCCCAGGCACCGACCAGCACAACGCGATTCACCGCACGCAACGGGCAGGCTTCACTGCTGAACTAGTCACATGGGCGTTAATATTAACGCCCCAGTCACACACCAACGTTTGAGACAGAAAGAAATGAGACCCCAGTCAGACCTAAGGGCACGTCTACACTAGCGAGCTCACAGCGGCACAGCTGTAGGAGTGCTCACGTAGCCGCTCTGTGCGATGGGGCAACACAATAAGACCACCTCCACAAGCGGCTGTAGCTATGATGGGGAGAAGCTCTCCCGCTGACAGCGCGGTCCACACCGGCGCGTCTGTTGGTGTAACGTGTCGCTCAGGAGGATTTTTTTTACACCACCGAGCGACACAAGTGATACCGACAAAAGTGGTAGTGTAGACAACCACTGCGACTGGCTATTATTCACCAGCTGCTTACACTGCAAAGCCCCTGTCGCCTGGTATCCCGCACATGAGGGGGAAAGCAAAGGGAGAAACAGCTAGTGTGAAATATACTCATTTGCTATTATCATGCACAGCTGAGGCGGCAGACATTGCATGGGGATTAGCAGTGTAATGTGGGTGTTCGACTCTATGACATTCACTCAGCGATTCCAAGGCCAGAAGGGACCATTGTGATCATCCTGTCTGATCTCCTGTGTAACGCAGGCCAGAGACCTGCCCCCAAGTCATTCCTAGAGCAGAGCTGTTAGGAAAACAGCCCGTCTGGATTTTAAAATGGTCAGTGATGGAGAATCCACCGTGCCCCTTGGTAACCTCTTCCAATAGTGAATTACTCTCGCTGTTAAAAATTGACACCTTATTTCCCATCTGAATTTGTCTCGCTTCAACTCCCCGCCACTGGATCGTGTTAGACCTTCCTCTGCTAGACTGAAGAGCTCATTATAAAATACTTGTTCCCCACGTAGGTACTTATAGACTGTGATCAAGTCACCCCTTCACCTTCTCGCTGTTAAGATCAATAGACGAAGCTCTTTCATTCCATTGCCATAAAGCAGGTCTTGTAATCCTTGAATCATTCGCATGGCTCTTCTCAGAGCCCCCTCCAACCCATCACCACCCTTCAGGGCTGGGACTGGGAGGAGAGAACACTGCTTCACTCAGCCCTCATCGGGTTGCCCCTGGCCTGGAGTCACCAAGGTGGATTGGATGATCTTGTATCTTGCTTGCAGAGCCATTAACAGGTCCTGATGTCAGTCTATCAAGAGTCATGATGCAACAACACTGGCTGGAGGGTGTCAGAACATCATGATACACAAGCCTGACTAAACACATTTTAAAAAGTGGCAATCCTGCCAAGAGATGGTTGCTGGGGGTATTTAATTACATTGCTACTAGATTGCTGGGCCATTTACAATCCTCTAATTCCTTTGGGGGGGGGTGCTTTCCCTAATCCAGGTGTCTGCTGTTTTCATTTGGGTATGTCAATACCCATGCTTGTCTCAGCACAGAGATTGCTGGCTCAGGGTTTGTAAACACTGGTCACTCAGCCTCTCTCTGCTGCCAGGAGCATCATGCAGCGTTCACAAGGATTTTAGCAGCTAATCAAAGCAAACACACTCAGGCCACACCACACACATTAGACTATCCACACTTAGGAACTGCCATGCCAAATGAGACAAGTGAATCCCTGAGTCCAGCACCCTGTCTGGGACAGTGGCCAACACCAGCTGCTGCAGAGGAAGACGAAAATTTGCAGTGGACAATTACACAATAATCTGCCCATCACGGAAGTTTCTTCCTTACCCCAGTGGCTGGCTCTTGCCCTGAGGAAGGGGAGTTTATAGCCCTGCAATTGTTTTCATCCTATCTAATCTAATTGTGGATGTTCTCACTGCTCATTTAACTGTCCGACCCTAATGCAAACCCTTTGCCTCAATGCTAGCTAGTGGTAGTACATACCGAGTGAAAACAGCACCTGTTTTAAATTTGTCACTTTACATTTTGATTACCTGTCCCCTTGTTCTTGTATTATGAGAAGCAGCACTTCTGTTTTCCTACTGCCTCTCTCGACAGCATGTGGTATTTTGTATACCTCTGTTTTCCCCTCTCTTATTCACCCCTTCCTACAGAACTCTTTCCAGGTCTCTAGTTCTGTCATCTGTATCTGAACCTCCTCTCTATTTCTGCCATGTCCTTCTTGGGATAGAGACCACCACTGACCATAGGGAGGGCCAGTGAGCGTGTCCTACCAGTGATTTATAGAACGGCACCAGCGTATTCTCAGCATTGTTCTCCATCCCTTTCCTTACACATCCTAACGGCTTGTTTGCTTTTTTGACTGCTGTTGCACACGGAGGAACGTTTTTTATTGGACTCTCCACAGTGATGCCTGGCTCTTTTTCCAGAGTAGTTACAGATCCTCGGCTCAAGATGGAGCATTTCAAAGCAGAGCCTCCACCAGCTCCTTCTACTTATTAAAAGTGAGGGTGGCTGCAGCTAGCTCCGGCTCACTGAAATGCTGCCACTGGGCTCCGAGTTAAGTTGCCAGTGGAAGCCTCAACTAGGCGAGTCTGTGGAAGAGTTTCACTAACCTGAGCTTAACGAAAAAGTGCCCAAGCCAGCAATGGGCAAGGACGGGGACAGGAGAGAAGTCAGATGATGAGAGGGGGCCGGAGTCTGTTTCCTCAGAGCAGACGTCTGAATAGAGAAGTAATGGAGAGAATTCCCAGAAGAGAAGCAAGGAGACTCCGCTGTGTCTCAGGCTATTAACTGCTCTGAGCCAGCCATCAGCCTCTCGGAAGTGCCTGCTGCGGTAACAGTTATTGCTCCATTAGCTCACTCTTTGTTGCCCCAAGGACACTCTAGGTGTGAATGCCCCGTTGCATTTTACTGCTTGGTTATTTACTTAGCTCTATAGTTACAAGCATGATCATATGGGGGGTGAGTCAAGGCTGCTAGGTGAGCCATCAGTGACTGGACTGGAACGATGAAGATTTTTGTGGCTATAGGAGATACCAATGGTTATGGTTTGTGGCCGATATACCATATAGATGATTAGCAATTATGAGTTTTAGTTGCTGTGGTTCATTCCATGTTAATTCGTAATGGGTCCAAAACAGCTATTCACCAGATCATCTGTAACCTTTCGACCAAAGTTTGCTGGGGAAGGACCAGCTTGTGGCTAAAGCACAAAACTAGGAATCAGGACTCTTGGGTTCTATTCCCAACTCTATCACTAATATGCAGTGAATAAAGTCACTTCACCTCAGTGCCAAAGTTGTCAAATGCATTTGTTTTGGCAGACAGGTATAGATAAAAGCACTGATCGTGTGCTTGGGGCTATAAAGGAATTCCTGGCTCCGAACAGCAGAACTTCCCTGGATCACAGCGGGGTCATGAAGATATGAGAGAGACAGAGAGAGAGAAATCACTTTGAGAAGCACTGGATGGTGCTGGAGAAGAGCCAGACATTTTATTATCATCACTGAGAGAGACTGTAAATGCTCTGAAGTGCAGGAACCATTGTGAGTGATAAACTCAGGCACTAATTTCTACGATATGTTCATTGGGGAAGAAAAATCTACCTTCTTTTCAAGCTGCACTCCTGTCTGTGGTTGCTAAAGCACCACCTTGTAGCTTCCAGTTGACACTCGGTCCCTCCCTCACTAGTGTTTCCAGCCCAAGACGCGAGAAAACTCTGGCCCAACGTCTGCCTTGTCTTCAAAGTCTCGAGAGCCCAGATCTAGGCCATCAGAAGCAGTTATAGCTGCAGTGAGAGATGTCGTCGCTTGTGGCACCAGCATCTCTTATTTCAAGGATCCAAGGGGTTGGGGTATTGGGGGATAAGAAAATAGGAATGATCCCTCTGGAACCACCAGGTGGTGCCTCCAGAGTCACAACTAGAACCTGCAGCTTCAACTCAGTTTAAAGCCGTTGTGACCAAGGAAAATACTGACCCTGTTTCTCGGCCCTTCCCTCCTGCAAAGCTGGTGTCTGATAGTGGGTGCAGCTACTCCACACAGTAAGGGATTGGGGAGCAGTGTCCCGGACTCAGGTGAGAAGGGACACATTTAGCTAGAAGGTGGAGCCAGAGAAAGAAGGGGGGTCAGGACAGATTTCTGCCTCCGTTACTAGCACAGGACTGGCTAGGCACTGCCTTGGTGATGTCACAGCCTCCCAACCCAATGCGGCTGGAGGAAGTGAAGGTAAGTTAGGAGCCCGGAGAGCACCTGGGGGATACAAGACAAGTTCTGAACAAGAGAAGTGCGGGGACTGGACACTGAAAAGTGAGCGTGGCAGAAGAACGGACTGCGGGGAAGGCTCGGTAGCTGAAAAGGGCTCTTGCCGACGGGGAACTGGGAAGGCTGCTTACCTGGTGCAATGCAGTGAGGCCATCTTCATTGTACAAATTGGGGCTGATGCCACGCTGAAGGAACTGGCGAACTGTAAAAACAAAGAGCTTTTAGACAGGGGTCTCCACACGCTCACCTGAAGCTACAAGGGTCACTGGGGCAGGGGGATCCAGAGGGATTGCTGGTAGGTGTAATCAAGGCAGAGAGAGGACACAGCCAAACATTTTCAGAGGCACAAATGGAAGTCAGGTGCCTAACTCTCCTTGACTTTCAGTGGGAGTTATGTGCCTAGCTGCCATGTGCATTTGAAAATCCCCCCCTCAGTCCTGAAGAGCACAGGGGCAAGAACCTCCCCTTGTAACGGAAACGTGTCTTGCACTGCACACACAGCTCTTATGTCTGCTTCAGGGCAACCTAGAAACAGAACTCACCCCTAAAAGACCGGGTGGTCCCCTGCATGCCAGCAGGTGCCCTGGACTGAAAGAGAATTGAGTTCTGGTGGCCTGACCTCAAGAAAGAGAGAGCAGAGACGGAAGAGCTGCAGAGAAAGAAATCGAGGGTGATTAGGGGTCACGGGGGGGATTTAAATGTAATGAGAGAATGCCAAGAGGAGTGTTACTTGGGTTAGAAAGAAGAAAGGAAAGGTGGGGGCTTGATTGAGGTATTCAGCTTTTGCAAGATCATCATCAAATTGGCCAGTCCCTCTTCCTTCTCACCGCTGTCTACTAGCAAGAGAACACAGAGACACCTTAATTAAAGGACAGGACGTTGAAAAGGAAACGAAAGGAATGAAAGGAAATGGAAAGGCTTCGATTTTTATCAGTAAATGTTGATTTCACTGAACACACACAAGCCGTCAAATATTTCCAATGATAATAACTGAGATTTACAGAGAGGCAAATTAAGAAAAACGCTGCTTGAGAACCTGCTGGGGTTTGGTGGAAGGCTATTTAATTTGTATATTTTGACATGTGATGTTGGACAATTTGAGTTTTAACAGTTATAAAGCTTTAACTTTTTGAATCTCAATCTCTGTTGTCATGAAATAATTGTCTGAGCTCTCCATAAACGTCCCACAAATTTAAATCAATACAAATAAAAAATGCTTAAAACCCATCATTTTGTGCAACAGTGAAAATTTAAATGCATAAAAATAGAAAAATGCTTAAAAGTAAATATCAATACGATCTGTCAAAATTATCAAACATTAAGACTGGAACTCTGCCCTATGCAGTGTGATGTTAACCTGTGGAATTCACTGCCACAGGCACTTCGATCCAGGTACTGTGGCTGGATTTTAAAATGGGCTGTAGATTGTATCTGATCCTTCTCGAGTGAAGGGTGATTTAAGGTGAAGTTTTGTATGCTGGGACCCGCACACTCACAAGCCACATCACTGTGCAGAAGATCCAGGGCAGCCAGATATGGGAGTATTTCCATAAGCCTTGTTCGACAGCCTTTTATAGGACCAGTAGTTGGAGATCTAGAATGTCGATCCCTGGAGTACTACGGGGTGTTGTCGTTGTCTTGGCCCCAGGAGATTAGAGAAACAATGGTTGAGGTTGTCTCTCTCACCAAGCGAAGTTGGTCCAATAAAACATATCACCCGTCCTCTCCCTTGTCTCTCTCATCACTGGGGTGTTAGGGACATGGCAGGTTTTCTTTGCACAGATCGTGCTAGACCCTCTACGGCTCCCTCCCTGGCTGCTCCCTCTTTTGTCTAGCCAGGAATGTTGGAGCACTGGGAGATACAATCTGTGCTACAACTAATAACGGAGTCACAGGAGCTGATAGTAAATGGTTGAAGCTACAGTACGGGCAGGACCTCGGCTGTGTGCCTGTAATTGAGTTAATTGGACTGCCCAAGGCTTTCACCAGTTACAGGGACACAGGTAAGCGCCAATCTACAGTACAGTTTTTGACCATTTTTAGCTGAGTCAGGGGACAGCCATGTTGTAAGTAGACCCCCGCCCTGGTTATGGTTTTAAGATAGACTATGCCTTAGTCACCAAACTGAGTGGGGTGGAGATAGGGTGAGGTCAGGTTTTAAAAGTAAAGGTCAGTGATGGGCAGAGGAAGGTAAAACCAACAGTTAAAGACAAGATCTATTTCCCAAGGAGACTGAATTACCACCAATCTCAGACCCAGAGTGGGCAAAAAGGGAAAATACAGTGTGTCAAAGAGCCCAAGTTAGACTTACTTAACTGATCAGGCTCCAGCCCACCCCCAGCAGAGAAGGAAATCGGCACGTCTGTTGCTCTGCAGTTCACCTTTGGAAGCATTTAACACTAGCCTCGACAAAACACTAGATGTCATCAGAGTAAGGAAGAGTCCTGCACTGGTCCCTGCAGCAAGGACCAGATGATCCAAAATCTTTTCCCATCTCTTAATGTTTATCATTCTAAATCCTCAGGTAAAGCGGTAAAACAAACCCAAGGAGATTATAAGGCTGTGGTCACAGTTAAGCGAAAGCCAGATTAACTGAGAGGGCTCTGAGATCTCTCACTGACTGCCCCGCATTATGAATACATCCGTTTTTGCTCATGTGACAGAATCCACCGTGGGTGGCATGGAGATGAGCCTTGGTCAAGGACTGTGAAGCAGGTAATCCTCTCACCTTATCAGAGCCCCTCCACTTTGAGAGCTGCCTCAGCAAACTAGAGAATGACGGACTCCAGATGGAATTTCTTTGCATTGCTTATTTTGGAAACACCACTAGTTCCTGGAGAGTGTGAAAGAACTGGTTCAACTGGTCAGTGCCCAAGAGGAAGTCTGCATCTGTGCAGGCTGCTTCTCCCCCCACAGCCAGCAGGAGATGCTATCCTTGGACTAAGACCCAGAGAAACCAATAACCATGTGTATCAAAGGGTTCAGACAAGGTTCTTCTCTATCCTGCCCACAAGCAATCTGTTCCCCAGGAGTCCACAGCTAGGTGTGCCCTCTGCTAGCGGTAGCACTGCATAGGAGGTTTTCATGGCCTTTGTTTTACATTCTTCTTCAAGAGTCACACGAATGATGATTTGGAAAGAAGTCCCCAGCCCTGTCCTCCTCTTCTCTGCCTTCAGCCTCCCCGAGCTCCAGCTCTTCATATCTCCCAGGATGTTTCTGCCCACCCTCCTGAGACACAAAGAAATAGGATTCCCGCCCTTCAGGCTCAAAGCAATGCCACTGGGCTTAGATCTCATTTAAAAAGCAAAGCAAAGCAGACCTAGGTCCGGGCGCTGGAAGACCTGGGTTCAATTCCCAGTTCAGCCACAGACTTCCTGAGTGACATTAAGCAAGTCCCTTATGCCACCCTGTGCCTCAGCTTCCTGTCCTCGAAACAGGGATAGCAGTCCCTGGCCTCCCAGAGGGGCTGTGAAGATCAAATCCATTAGTGATCGGGAGGCACTCGGACACTCGGGTGTCGGGGGCCGGATACAGCCCCTAAACCGAATAGAATTCTGCTTGTTTTCAAGCTCTTGGTGGCCTTCCCCCAGCTAATCCTGCATCTTGCCTCATTCTTTTTTCTCCTCTCCGCATTCATGTATCATCTCTGCCCTGTCACATGATACGCCTCTAATCAGACAAGAGCCTTTTCCACTGCAGCTCCTAGTGCCTGGAACTCTCTGCCTCATCAACTGTCCACTTCCTTAATAGGTCAAACTATTTTTATACAAATATGCAAATATCTAGACATTTCCAGAGGTGCTTTAAACAAATCTAATGAATACAATAAAAAACCATCTCTTTTTCTCCCTTGCTCAGATCTCTTCATCTCTCTCTGCCACTCAACTCTGCAGAGGGTGTGGAGATCATGCACTGATGCCATCCAAAATAAAAGTTATTGTATCATGCAATTTCTTTCCCTGGGAAACAAACGGCTCAAAAGCAACTACTGGTTTTATTAGGGAGGTTCCTTCACCAAATTTTCCAGCTGGGTTAAAAAAGGCACAAGATCAAGTGGATTATCAAGGTCACACGCTGAGTCAATGGCTCAGCCAGAATTACCAAAGAACCAAGGAGCCATTTGGATCTAAGGTCTTTATTCAAACCATTGGGCCTACCTGCTCCTAGGAGTGGTTACAATAGGTACTTCAGCCTGCATACAGCGTGGAGCAGAGCCAGACCTGTCAGTCACTGGCAAGCAGGGGAATGCCCTGCCCTCTGACATTCCCTCCAGTTGAGAGAGCTTCCAAAGCCAGGAGAATTCAATTCTACTGTCCTGAACGACAGACTGCGTTAAACAGACCTTCAGGAAAAAGCACAATGATTTCTCTTATTGCAGAGAATGGAGAATTCCCCCTGAGACAAATCTGAATCTTTGTTTGTCGGTTTCTCTCTCTACTTTGGTTGATCCATTTGTCCCAGGGTGGGCCTGATCTGTGGATCTTATTATTCACAGAAAGGAAGTTTTCAGGTCAGTACAGATGAATTGTCCTATTCTTCCTTGTGCTAAGGTCCACAGATCCCTTACACTGGGATCTTCACAGCAGTTTGCCTCCAGGGTTGAAAGCAGGATCATCCTTTAAATATGAACATCCCAAAGCAAGTATATTACATGTCCTCCATATTCCCCGGGGCATTAAGGTGTGGGGAAGATTTCTGCTCCCCACTCCCAGCCCTCCAGAAAAGGCATCGGATAAAGACTGGATGACCCATATATCGCATTATGGTGAATGCATGTTTTGATGACCACCTAACTGATCTCAATACAGGAGACAAGACTTCTACCCAAAGACTGTCAGTCCTCCTAAGGACTGTATTTTGATGCTTAACAGAAGAAAGAAAAATGTCTGAAATTACTCTGGGAATCAATGCCTTGACAGCTCAGAACTACGCATCTGAATTAGAACCACAATACTGGGTCTCATCAAAGAAAGCTCCCAACTTCAAAACTCCTCTGATTGGAGACAGTAGCTGTCAGGAGGTCTACTCGAATAATAAACCAAGACAACTCCTGCAGGGGTTCAACCTGGGTAATGCTATAAGGAGCGGTATGAGGTTCCACGGTCGTGCTTTATGGTCCTGTGGGTCATTACCCTCATGGAATATTTAATGTCGGGATTCATACAAAACTTCCTTTTCTTGAACATTATACTCCTGAGACTC